TGAGTGAATGAATGAGTGAGTGAATGAATGAGTGAGTGAATGAATGAATGAATGCAAACGATGAGCGGAAAGTGATGTGGTGTTTCCCTCCGTCAGGCAGTCTGTGTGCTGCTCCTTTTGCCCGTCTTGGCCGAGCTCCAGGGTGTCGGGGACATCCGGGAGTACCTGGAGGAGGGCGCCAGTGCCTTTCTGCCGCTGGGCACAAAATTCACAAGGGCTGATGGTTGAACCATGTATACTTGGTTACTAGATGTTACTAGTAGCGATTCTCGTTCCTAGTAGTAAGGCCAGGAGCCACTAGTAGCGTCCTTGCTCCTAGTAGCAATGCCCTTTGTTACTAGTAGCTTCTAACAATGTTAAATCTTGGCAAGACCTCGGGTGGGCTGCACAAGAAGAAACTCTTGGATTGGATCATGTTGGATCCACAAAACCCCCGCCAAACATGGGACAATTTTGAATTTGCGGTCCTTGATCGTTTCGACCTGTGAGCAAGGATGCACAGCAGGACCACTGTAGCTGTAAGAAGTGGATTTCCCTACTGTGAGTCATCCACTCAGGTCGACGAAAAACGACGAAACACCGAGGTCTGCGCCGATCTGGCCCTGCTTCTACCTCGCCGTCAACCTCTTCTTCAACGTGAGTGTCCTGATCTTGTTGCGGACCACCTCCGCGGTCTCGGCACCTCGGCGAAGCTCCCAGAGTGTTTTCCGATCTTAGTTTTGCAAGGGAGGTTGGGAGGAGAATAGTCTACGCTCTAGTTTTGCAAGCAACATAGCTTCAGAATGCTTGAGATACAGGATGTCGTTTGGCGGTGAAAGAATGTCTTCAAGAATCTTCAAGGGCAGAGCGATAGGAATTTCCTGTGGCTCCGTTTATATAGTGGTTCCATAGTGGTTCCCTCATCATTTAGCAGCTGTTCATGAGGTTTCATGTCTTGTGTTCGCACTTCAGGTACTGGTTCATGCTTTCTGATTTAGTAATTTTAATATATCTGAACGTCAAATCTCTCTTCCCGCTGTTTGGCCTAAACTAGCCCAATTGATCCCTTCCAGGGAAGGATTATCAGCACGTCAGATATTTTCAGGCCTATTTGGGTATAGACAAAGGTGACCCTGGGGTCGTGACCTCTCGACCTCATAGGCTTCTCCTTGACCCATCCTTACACATCTCACACCGTGCATCCTACTGAAGCCTTATATCAACCAGACCGGTCATGAGACCGCTGAATCATCGCATTTTTGCACGAAGTGGCAGGTCTCCTTGGCCATGGCTTTGGCCGTGCCCATCACCGCTTTGGTCTTCGCCAGTTGGGATGTGCCCCTGGTGGGCCAAGGCCAACCGTTGGATAGGCAGGAGACACTGATGTCAAGATGTGATAATGTACTTGGCGATACTCTTGTAAAGCTTGTACCAGGGTGTAATGATTAATGCAATTGGATGTTCTGTACATACTGAGCTTGCACATTGTAGATTTTTGCAGAGTTTTGGCTTATGAGCTGCTTGGTCATTGTCAAGCACAAAGACTAATTACTACCTTCCAGCGATTGCCACACAAGAGACAGATCCACAAGCATATGCATGTGCGAGCAACGCACTACTATAAATTATCCGAAATCTACATGCTGTGACATACTTTTTGTGAAGCCATCCGCCTATATTGACAGAGTTGTTGTAGCAATGGCACATGGAAACTTGTCAGATTTGGTCTTCTTGGGCCTTCTGGTCATTGCGGGGCAGTGGTTCGCCTGTCCCCACACGCTTTTTCAGGATGTGGGACCCTTCAAGGCCCAATTTTCAACACCAACCCCGGACATGAGTGCTATGCTGAAGCTGGGAGGTGGGTTGCTCCTGACAATTGGGATGATGCTCTCAGGCGTTAGCTGGAATCCAATCAATGGCAAGATGGCCGGTTTTGCTGGAATAGTTGCCATGGGCTACATTGCTTACCATCTTTTCCAGCTGGATGGAATCTTCGTGCCGCGTCTCCTCTACGTGTATGCGTTCGTGGTCTTTCTGGGAGCTTTGCACATTTGTGCCTTCCCATCCAATCCAATGCCCAAAAAGACCAAAGAGACCAAGAACAACCACGGCAACTTTTCGGACGTCATTGCACTTAGCTTGATCGCTGTGGCTCTCTCATGGTATTTCTACCCCCAGCATCTTTATCAGGACTTGGGCCCTCTCAAGGCGCAATTTAGGAACGAAAGCGCGGATCTTTCAACACTACGTGGCTTCGTTGCACAAAGATCACAAAGGTAAGTGTTGATGTTCATTATTTCAACAGTTTTGAGTAGTGAGTAGTGCGAGCACTTTGCTGATTTGCAGATGTTTTGTCGGTGTTTGTTGAGAAGTGAGGCAAGTTTGTGGCCGGCTTGTTCCTCATCATCGCTCTGATATTTTCAGGCAGGTTGGTTCGGAGAATGTTGTGGAAAACGCTCAGGTCGGAGGAATGGAAGAGGCAGCAAAGGAGTTATGTTGCCCAGTAATTGCATGGTTCGGCTGGGAAAATTGAAGCATCGAAGTTCATCGAAGGCCCCAAATTTGAGTCCTCCAGCCAACTACTGTAGAGTTTAAACCATGTGGGCAGGCCCACCGACTTCAACTAGACGTGTGCTTCAATCGACTCCAATCCTTCACTCCCATGAGCTTTGTACCTAGCAGCGATGGCCTCCAACCTAATAGCAATGGCCTCCAACAGGTGTGAAATGGAATCCCATCAATGGGAAGATGGGTGGCATGGGTGGCTTTATTGCATCAGGCTACACTGCCTTTAGTGCCTTGGACTGCAACGATCTTTGAGTAACTGACACTGGAGGCCAAAGAATGCCTTTGAATGCAAACGGTTCGTGGTCACTACATCCTCTCGACATAATCTCAGTCTCCCATGTTGCCGGGGGATCCATGTTGCAGCTACCTCATCTTCACTTCCGAAATGGATATCCCCAAAGTGCCATGCCTCACATGTGCCAAAAAAGGCTTTTATATATATATGGCATATATATGTATGCCTATATAGTTAAATTACACCCTTTTTTTGTGGAACCTGAGGTGTTTACAAGGCTGATGATGAGAAGTTTATCCCACAGCTCTTCTACGTGTACGCATCTCGCTCAAGTAAGAAGTTGTCGTGGTGAAATGTAGTTTGTTTCTGTTCGTTACAGAGTTGCTATCTCGATGCTGTTGGGTAAACAACGTTGCAATGTTTGATTTGATGGCAGCCCTTTTGGTCCGTTGATTCCTGACGGTCAGGCACTAGTCCTCTTCCTTGGCTCATTGCACATTTTTGCTTTTCCGTCCAATCCACCACTTGCGAAGCCTGACAAGAAGGATTAGTCCACACTTGCGAACGCGCATCAAGGGCGCTTCAGATGTTCCACACTTGTCTTTGTAGATGAGTGAGGGACATATTGAATGGTGTTCGTTGCACAGTAAGCCTTGACCGAGCAGGGCTTAGTTGGATGGAAAATGTAAAATAGTTCCCATTGGTTTGGGAGAGATTCCAATGGCTCACAAGTTCGCAGGACGTACAGATCTCGCTGTCCGCGGTCACAAAAGAAAGCATGCCGTTCACTGTGTGCATTGTTTCCTTGGTGCATCGACATGCAGGTTGCTTCCTGCAAACAGTGAATCATCAAGATGATCGAAAGTAGCAGCTAATCGTGGACATCTATATAATGGTGAAAAAATATTGGTTTGATTGATCAATTGATATAAGCATACATAAACTCTCCTGGATCTATCCGAAGTCGCGAAAGCTGAAAGAACGTTCACTGAAAGTCCGCCGACAGGTTCTTTGGCCTTGGATTGCTTTTGATCCTTGGTGGCTTGAGCTTGTACCATGGTTGGCTGAAAGGCAAGTTCAACTTGCTGAGAGTCGAGTCTGGGATTGAACTCTCGGGATAGTCAAACGAACGTGTCCTGAAGAACAACAGATTCAGCTTGAGGAGGTTGGCTGTGTTTGGTCTCCGAAGACAGTCTAAAACGTCCATTTCAAGGATTTGTCGACCAATGCGTGATGCTCTGTGAATTGGGAGAAGAATTAGTACTAGTAGCGTCCTCGTTCCTAGTAGAAATACCAGGAGCTATATACTAGTAGCTTCTTGCTACTCAGAATTGGTCCAGCTGCGAGTGCTTCTGTCGAGTCGAACATCCCTGGAAGCGCATGTGTGTGGTTCTGATTTCTAAACAACAAGTTTGCACACTATGGTTTCAAACGGCCCAACATGTTATTTTATGTCAGCCAGGCACAGCCAAGACATCCAAAGTCTGAGCCGGCTTCATCACAGGGCGGATCTCACCGATCGGATCTGCCTCCGTTTGACAAACTCTTATGTTTACTGCCTCAACATCAGTTGATGATGCATGAAGAAAGTTGGATCAAACGAGCAAACGAGCAAATCATGCTCATCAACGGTGATACAGTCAGACTCTTTCTTCGAGTCGGAGCCAGAACAGGCCGACAATGTCGCTGTCGAAAGCTGCTTCGAAAAGGAGTTCAATCAATAGCGATGCCAGGAGCCCCTAGTAGCGTCCTTGCTCCTAGTAGCGATGGCCCTTGCTCCTAGTAGCGATGGCCTTTGCTCCTAGTAGCGTCCTTGCTCCTAGTAGTACGGCCAGGAGCCCCTAGCAGCATTCTTGCTCCTAGTAGCGATGCTAGGAGCCCCTAGTTGCGTCCTTGCTCTATGGAATAGCCCAGTACGCTGGTGCACCCTTTGCTCACTTCATTGGACTGCGGACAACCTTGGAGCTGACTATGGGCCACCCAACTAAAGTTGACTTGAGAGGTTTGAAGAATGTAATGCCAAAACGTGTTCAGTTCAATGCCTCGTGACTCATGACTCATCATATCATGATCAACTCGTATCATTTGGAAAGTGGAATGAAAGGAGAAGGATTCGTGATGTCGCTTTAATCACTGTCAGATTCTTTTTGGAAGAGGGTCCACTAGTAAAACGAAGAGAAACCAAAAGGAGTTTCGAGTCCACCGAAACAAATCTCATTGTTCAGTTGTTGTTCAAGGACTGCCCCCCCCATGGATTCTTTTGGGGGGCATGTTTTTTTGGTTTTGCAAGAGAAACGTGAATGGCAACGTCCTTCAACTATAGACTATGAAGAAAGCATAAAACTGCTTGATGTGCTACGACAGATGTGTGCATGGATCAGGAGAATCATAGACCCACGAAAGCAATCTTGGAGAGCACAACTTGTCTTTTGATCATCCCACCCATTAAGCGATTTCACAGAATGGAAGAAGCTACAACCCAATCTTCAACCCAACCAACCTCGAACATCTACAAGGTGTCATGTACTGTCAAAAAGTGGTTTATATAGCATTGTGGACATTGTCAATGCACATGGACAGCATCAACTGCAGTGTTGCCAGGCAGCCATGGGCATTAAAGGTTTGTTTCCATACCTCGTGGAGGCTGCACCCAAGGCCTACAACACCTCAGAACTCAAGCGATACACTGGACGACGGCTCGCTGTGGATGCTTCCGGCTGGATGTACCAATTCCTGAGCATCGTGCGCACCGGAGCCGCCGCCGAGAATCTTCAGAACAACCAAGGTGCTGCCACGTCGCATTTGCAGGGCTTTGTGTTCCGAGCCTTGAAGCTTCTGGAGGCCGGGGTGCATCCGGTCTTCATCTTTGATGGCAAGCCTCCGGAGATGAAGACGGCAGTGAATCGAGCTCGCCGCAAGACACGCGAACACGCGGCCGAGGAGCATGCAGAGGCAGTGGCCACTGGCGCTAGCAGTGAAACAGTCTATAAGGCAGCAAGCCGATCTACAGTCGTGACCAAAGAACATAGTGAGCACACCAAAGAGCTCCTCCGTGCAATGGGCCTTCCAGTGGTGGAAGCTCCAGGAGAGGCGGAGGCGACATGTGCTCAACTCTGTAAGGAAGGCCATGTCTATGCTGCAGTGACAGAGGACATGGACGTTTTAACTTTTGGATCTCCTCGGCAGATCAAGAACCTCTTTGATGTGGAGGGCTCTAGGGCTCGTCAACCCAAACCTGCACATGAAATAGACTTGGAAAGGGTTTTGCAATGCTTGTCATACACTCAAGACCAATTTATTGAATTCAGCATTTTATGCGGCTGTGACTACCTGCCGCACTTGCCACGCATGGGTCCAAAAACAGCAGCACAACTGTTGAAGCGAGAGGGATCACTCAAGGCAGTGGTGAGAGCAGTTCAGGCAGGAAAAGGGCCCAAAGGCTGCCTTCTCCCTGATGAGTGGGACTGGGAAGCGGCCAAAAGGATTTTTCAACAAGGTCCCAAAGAACTTGGATCCTGTGAACCGAATTGCGCAGAAGAAGCGCCCAACTTTGATCGCATGCGGTCCCTGCTGGTGGAGAAGCATCAGTTTAACTCTTCCAGGGTTGAAAACATGCTGGATCGACTGCGCAAAGCCCGATCCCCGGGCGGTGCCGCCTCTAGCCGTGGAATCGAAAGCTTTTTCCAGGCACCTAAGAGGCCCCGCCTTTCACCGCCTGCGCCGCCAGCCATTTTGGCGAGTTCTGACCCTGTGGTGATCGATGATGAGAGCCAGGGCCTGGAGATCCTGGAACCCACTTGGAAGTGTCCCAAGTGCACCTTTGCCAATGATGTGCAGCGAAGCTCTTGTGAGATGTGTGAACATCCACAAGAAGCCAAGGCATGGCCATTGAAGACTGCTGTGCAGCCCATTGACTTGGATGACTGACAAAAAGATAAAAAAGCCACCCGAAACCGCTAATATACATTGTTCGCTTCGATGGCATCCTATCAAAATAGACAACTTCAGTGCGCGTGTTGCACTCCCACCACCCAACTCTTGTTTTGGCGGCGAAGCGCACTGATGCTCTGGCTTCTTTGAAGTCCAGGCCCCTTTGGCATCATTTTGATGCCTCACCCGGCCAGGGCGGCTGCGGGTGGGAAGGCTCAGAAACCTTCGGGCCAAAAGGACTTGGTCGTGCAAGACCTTCACAAAAGTAACGGTTATTTCTAACCTCCAACTTCAGTGCGCGTGTTGCACTCCCACCACCCAACTCTTGTTTTGGCGGCGAAGCGCACTGATGCTCTGGCTTCTTTGAAGTCCAGGCCCCTTTGGCATCATTTTGATGCCTCACCCGGCCAGGGCGGCTGCGGGTGGGAAGGCTCAGAAACCTTCGGGCCAAAAGGACTTGGTCGTGCAAGACCTTCACAAAAGTAACGGTTATTTCTAACCTCCAACTTCAGTGCGCGTGTTGCACTCCCACCACCCAACTCTTGTTTTGGCGGCGAAGCGCACTGATGCTCTGGCTTCTTTGAAGTCCAGGCCCCTTTGGCATCATTTTGATGCCTCACCCGGCCAGGGCGGCTGCGGGTGGGAAGGCTCAGAAACCTTCGGGCCAAAAGGACTTGGTCGTGCAAGACCTTCACAAAAGTAACGGTTATTTCTAACCTCCAACTTCAGTGCGCGTGTTGCACTCCCACCACCCAACTCTTGTTTTGGCGGCGAAGCGCACTGATGCTCTGGCTTCTTTGAAGTCCAGGCCCCTTTGGCATCATTTTGATGCCTCACCCGGCCAGGGCGGCTGCGGGTGGGAAGGCTCAGAAACCTTCGGGCCAAAAGGACTTGGTCGTGCAAGACCTTCACAAAAGTAACGGTTATTTCTAACCTCCAACTTCAGTGCGCGTGTTGCACTCCCACCACCCAACTCTTGTTTTGGCGGCGAAGCGCACTGATGCTCTGGCTTCTTTGAAGTCCAGGCCCCTTTGGCATCATTTTGATGCCTCACCCGGCCAGGGCGGCTGCGGGTGGGAAGGCTCAGAAACCTTCGGGCCAAAAGGACTTGGTCGTGCAAGACCTTCACAAAAGTAACGGTTATTTCTAACCTCCAACTTCAGTGCGCGTGTTGCACTCCCACCACCCAACTCTTGTTTTGGCGGCGAAGCGCACTGATGCTCTGGCTTCTTTGAAGTCCAGGCCCCTTTGGCATCATTTTGATGCCTCACCCGGCCAGGGCGGCTGCGGGTGGGAAGGCTCAGAAACCTTCGGGCCAAAAGGACTTGGTCGTGCAAGACCTTCACAAAAGTAACGGTTATTTCTAACCTCCAACTTCAGTGCGCGTGTTGCACTCCCACCACCCAACTCTTGTTTTGGCGGCGAAGCGCACTGATGCTCTGGCTTCTTTGAAGTCCAGGCCCCTTTGGCATCATTTTGATGCCTCACCCGGCCCACCTCTTCATCTAAAGGTGGTCACATCTCCGACCGCGGCCATCTTCTTGGAGACTGCGCTGACCGAACCCCCATCGAAGAGGTAGCGTTGCACCGCAGAGGAGGACCACCTTCCCGCTCGCTTCACCAACTCAATGTCGGCAGTCGACTGGAACAAAGCTGATGCCCCACCAATCCTCAAAGAGTGGGACATGAACCTCCCTGGCGGCAAGCCCACTCCAACCGCTGCCTCCTGGAGGAAGTGCTGGATCTCGATCCTCTTGATGACCTGGCCATTGCTCCATCTGAACAGCGGCTTGGTGCTCTCGGCATGGCCTGGCAGAAACCGCATCGTCCAGACTTGCCTCATACGGTCCAGTGCTTCGACTGGGCAAAGGTGCTTCCTCCCCGTGGCCTGCAGCGTCTTGGTGTCCCCGAAGGCCAGCTGGTCGTTCTTGGTCTTCCGGAAGAAGAGGGAAATCTCGGTCGCCTCCCCCACCGGTTTCGCCACTCCTTGGTGAGAAAGGCGGATGTCACAGCCCCTCGTGATCATGCTCTCGTCCACTCCGTTCGATTCCCCGAACTCCTTGGCCCTCAGCATGAAGAACCACGCCAGCTCCAAGGCCGCCACGACCATCACTGCCTCCGCGTACGGAATTGAATGCCGGTCATTCACTAGCGGGTCGACCAGGTTCTCGCCCAACCATACTAACATCTCAGGCGTGACCCCCAAGCGCCGTGGCTTCCTGGTAGTCGATCTCCGGTCCAAGGCGTTGACGAGGATCCACACCCGGTGCATTCCATCCAAGGGGTCGCCCCTGCCACTCCTTTTGTGCACCATCTTCATCGCGAAGATGTGTTGACGGATGGTATTGGGCGAGGCGCCCAGCCATCCCAGGTAACCCACGTAGGCCAGCGCCCGGTTCTCGTTCTCAATCGGGTCCACATTGCGGTTGAGGAACTCATCTGGCCAGCCCTGTCTTCTAGCCCAAGCGCACCACTTCATCCATGCTCCGCCATAGGCCTTCTCCGTCGCGGCACTCTTGTCCCCAGTCATGTTCTCCTCCAGCCATTCATCGACCCTTTCACGAACAAAACGGGGCGAGACTCTTGGTGAGGTGAACAGCCTGGGCTCCCACCTTCTCGGCAACCTTGAGCGGGTCGGTCTTGGCTTTGGTCCGTCCGCCAGCATAGGAACCCTTGATCTCGTTGGCAAACTCCAGGGTGTAGGCATCGTCCTCCTCTTCCTCGTCCATGCATTGAGCCCACCACCACGCCTCCGACCACCTCCACAGCCTCCTCAGAGGTGGCCCCGTGCCGCCACCAGCCCTGCTGGTGTCGGCCTCATAGGACGGCGGGCTCCGCCTCAACTCTCCCCTCTTCCACCTTCTGAGCCACAGCAGGATCTGGGTGGCCTCTGCTCCGGTGGCGTCCGGCATCATCCCGGCCTTACCCGGGTTCAGTTCCCCAGCTTCACGGGCGATCAGCTCACAGAGGATTTGGCCTCCCATGGTCACCAGGTTCGCGGCAGTTTGAATCCCCGTGGCCCGGACCCCTTCGATCACCGCAACCTCGGCAGGGATGTTGGCTGGTAGGTCTCGAAGCTGGCGCCCTTGTAGAACCCATAGTTCCTCCGGGTCAAGACGACGAACATGGCCTCCAGGTCCTCGGCGATCGTAGACATAGTAGCCCTGTAGACTGCTCCCGTCGTCTGACAACAGGGGCCACCGACCAGGGCCTCCAATCCCATGGATCACCTCACGTTCTTCGCCCCACCAGACATGACCTGCTGGTTGAGGTAGCATTCGATCTCTCGGGATGCCACTCTCCAGCTCCAAACGCAGCGGCTTGGTCCAACACAGTTCATGGTGCTCCTTTGGTTTCAGCAGTGAACTCATCGGTGCCGGCCCCATAGCTCTGACCAGAAACTCCTCCCATGCCTCAGGTAGAGCACCATGTGGGTTCACCACCAAGCACCGCCTCCTCCTCGTCAACGCCTCCCCATTCTCGGTGGTGATGAAGTCGACGATCCCATAGCCCCATCCCCGGCTCTCGCAGTGTCGCTGCCCTCGCTCCCAATCGACCTTCCCCGGTCCTTCGACCAGTCCCAAACGAGCTCCCTCGTGTTGAAGGTTGCGGAGGTACTGCTCCATGTGCTTCCCTCTGTAGTCCACTCCAAGCGTGGCGCACAAAAGCACCGGCCGGTCACCAACGTCTTCGATGGCCGCTCCTAGGGCTCCTCCCAAGGCCTCAAAATCTTTCAGCCACCTTCCCGAAGGGGTCCACTCCTTTACGGCGAAGGCTTTCCACGGAATCTCGAGCTCCCTTTGGATCTGTTTTGACACCCTTCTCTCACGGAGCTGAAGTTGCAGTGCACGATCACCTTCTTTCTCTGGGCCCCAAAGGAAGCATGCCCCATACCGGACCGAGTCCTCCAGAGCGCCGTGGATCGCCGCAGAGATGTCCAGCACCTGAAGGCCCTTCTCCTTCACGAAGCCCTCGAATTCCTCCTGGGTGCACCGCGTGATGAAGTCCGCGTGGACGTTGTGATAGGTCCGCCACCATCCGCTCACGACCGTGAAGTTGTACTTCATCTCCGCCAGGTTGAGGGCCCTGATGAGGATTCTTCCCCCTCGGGTGTTGCTCTTCCGGGATTGTAGCCAATTCTTGACGATGGTGTTGTCCCCGCCATAGGCCACTACTCCCCCCTTCCACTGGTCCCCAGCTGCACATGCGAAGGCAACAAAGGACAGCATCTCACCCAGGTGAATCACGAGGTCGGTCTCCTGGTCCCCAATCTCATGGTCTGACAGAGCCCGAGCAGCCCACGCTTTCAATGTCCCGGTGGGAAGGCGTGTCACCTGTCTGTTGGTCCAATCGATGGCTCCCACCATTGTAGGCGTAGCGTCGGATGACACCCAAATGACCTTCTCCCACTCTCCAGGCAAGCTTAATCTCTCCATAGTGGGAAGCATAGATCTCAAGCCGGTGGCAAAGGATTCCCATCGATCCGTCCGCGCACTCAGCCAGCGGCAGACCTCAAAAAGCTCCCATAGATCCTCCCATGCCCGGTCTGCCTCCCAGGCCTGGCTGCCTTCTCCACGTAGTCGGGGATTCACCTTCTGATGCCCATCACGGCCCGCAAGAAACTTGTCCGCCCGCCGCCTTGAGCTCGTTCACCAGACCCTTCACGATGGCTGCCCATCCGGTCAAGATGCCTCTGAACTGTTGTAGCTGCTTCAGGGTGACCTCCTTGGAGCCGTAGTCAAAGCAGCTGTCAGCTAGAAGGACCGCCCCTTTCTGAATGCGTCGCTCTGGAAGCGTAGCAGTCTCGCCCTCCGTGCACATGATCACCCCCCAGACCGTTTGTGCGGTCTTGAAGGCTCCTTCCACCTTGTCCTTCTCCTCATTCACCGCCTTGTTCCCCAGGAGCGTCCTGATGCCGTGCTCAAACACCTCCGCGCTCACCCACGGCCTCAGTCCCACCCAGGGCTCCACCAACACTCCGTCGTCGACCAGGACCTTGCAATCGAAACCATGGCCCATGTCTCTCCGTGGAACCGACGGGCGGTGAGCTCGATGGAATTCCTCCGTGCTACGCCCCCATACAGTCCATTCTCCCGGGCTACCACTGAACCCGAAGCTGGAGACCAAGTAGACCACCGTGATGTCCCCGCCCGGAATGCCCTCCAAGTGAATATCTTCGTCTGTGGCGTTCGGAAAGGCCTTCCTCGGGTTCCACGGCAGCTCCCCGGCGAACAACTCTACATCCTCCGGGGCGACCCACAGAAGCCTAAAAGCCCCAGAAATGTCCTTCTTGGACAGGAGGACCGGCAAGCCCGGGCATCGACCCTTAGCCCATAGGATGCGCTTGGCGATCTGCGAGTGTGTAGGTTGAAGGGCCGGCGGGTGAAGGAACTTGTTCGTCCCATGGTTGATGGTCCTCTGGTCGTGGACCACTCTCACCTCCTCCGACACAGAGCGATCTGGCTTGAGCTTCTGCACCGCCTCAAAAGGTGAGGCCATCGTCCCGCTCAGCTGAGGCATCATGGCACTGACTACCAACACCCTCTGCTTTCCCACATCCTTGGCGACCTGGGCAAAGACCTTGTCAACGTGGCGTCGTGCATTGGGGTGAAGCTTCGCAAAGGCTCTGGTTCGAAGCCCTTGGAACCTGGCCGCCATGCCATATCGTCGAACATCCCGAAGATATTCCAGGAGGTGGGGGTGTAGCACACGGTCCAGCCCCGGGTCATCCACCTGGGCTAGGTTCATCATTCCGGCCTTCTCCCTTACCTCCCAGAGGCTTTCAGCAGCTTGGCGCACTCCACCCGCGACCTCAACCAGCTTGTTGCCCGCCCGTAGCACGGCTGCCCAACCCATAGGAGTGTTGTCAAAGTCCTGCTCAATCGCCTTGACATACTCCTCCGCTGCCTGCCGTGCTGCTGTAGTTGGTGCTTGGTAGGCCGAACCTGGGCCATCACGTGCCTCGCTCCCTGCGTAGGCCGTCGGGCCTGACTCCACTTGGACACTCGCCTCGGGCTCCGGTCCGTCATCTTCTCCCGGGTCAGGTCCCTCATCTTCGTCTGCGCCCCACTCCCAGTCGTCCTCACACGGGATCGCCTCGTCGTCGACAACCGGCATCTCCTGGATGGTGAAGATGGTAACGCCCGTCCACTTGCCATAGCCTGGATCAGCCCCTCCGGCAGCCCGCCAATCATCCGTGATGACAACCTGGTTCGCCCCTTCTCGCAGATGGGTGACCCTCTCGTTGGTTAGGTGGGCAAGCGGTGTAGGGAGACCAATCTCCGACGGGGCGTAAAGGGTTCATCGTGAACTCTCCACAGTTGCCTGCGGGACGGGTTGTACTGCCACCTTTGAGGCGAGCCCCAGTGGTCGCCCGGTCCGGTTGGGCTGGTGCGGTGAAAGTCCACACTGGTGGAGGGGCCCATTGGATCCGCCCAGACTCCCTGCAGGGTCTCCCCTTCTCCTTGGTCAGGATCTCCTAGAGCTGGCTCGGCGCCTCGAGAGGAGGTGCCTTTGCCCTTTCCTTTCTCACATGCCAAGCGATATCGCTCCGCCCTCGACAGGCCATACGGGTATTCCACCCTGGTGGACTTCCTCCCGCCTCCCTCGACATCTGAGTTGGGCTCCGAAGTGGATGAGGTCGAACTTCCTCCTCTAGCGAAGCTGAGCCAGCCGCCCTTGCCCTTTCCCGCGCCTGGTCTGGAACTCCCTCGCGGGGATCTTTCTCGGGCTCCAGCTGGAGCGGATGAGCTTCTCATTGGTCTCCACGGCATAGGGATCACCCGGTCCTTTGCTGAGATCACGGCCCTTGGTTGCCGTATCGGATTGGGAACCCCCCCTTCAGGGAACCCGAGCACCTCCAGTAACCCGTCTCCGTGGCGGCTCGCCGAGTGGTTCCCGAAGCCCATCGATTCCAACAAGCCATCCCCTTTGCCATCTCCATCGGGTTGATCGTTTCGTTGGACGCCTCCACCATCTCCGTCATGTCCTTCGTCATCGTCTCCGGGTAGGTCTCCCGGTAGATCATCCTCACCATCTCCGCCAGCCTCTTCACGGTCACCAGGTAGTAGGGCACCTCCATCTTCTCCATCGTCTCCGCCTCGATCCCGAAGACATCTTGTGGCGTCAAAGCCAGACCCCCCCCCAACGAAGCTTGGAGCACCGCCACCACGACTGACACAAAGTTCTGGGCGTACACCCCGGCTTCAGTACAGCGAGTGACGGTTTGGCCGTCGCGACAACCCTTCAGCCCGATGTGCCGGTGCGAGGTTGACAGGCCCGGACAGACTCGTCGGAGCGCCCGCCGTAACGGTGGATGCAGTGGGAAGACCACCCTGGTCTTGTGCACATAGAAATGATCTGGCTCATCAGGGGGGCCAAGACCAAAGGCGCACATGGGCAGGTCAACGTACTCTACGTCCGGCCGGTTGAGGATGCGCTTCCAGCACGGCAGGTCCCATTGCTTGGGGTACCGTCCACTGACCCCACTGGACTCGACGAGAGGGAAGGCACCAGAATCCAACGAAGCCTCGAAGAGCTCAGCAGCGTGCGCACTCAAAATGTTGCCCATTGCCTCAGTCGCTGCCAATGGTCCCTGTCCAGTGCCTTCGGGACACTCGAAGGTGCGAGTCCCGCCATTCTTCTGCTGCCAGTCACAGTAGCTCGCGCATGGGGCCGCAATCCAATGCACATTGGAAGGCCCGGTACGCACCTCTGCCAGAAATTTGTCGTGGACATCCTTTCGACTCAAGTCAAAGTGTGCCCTGTAGCCCTGCTTGTCATGGGGATGCTCGTAGACCTCGACCGGCTCCATGATCGGGCTCGTCTTGCTCCACTCCGCAGAGATGCCACCTTTCCCGGCAAAGAACTCCCTTAGCACCAGCTGCCCCGGTTCATGTGGCTGGCCTGCACTCCGAACCGCCCGAATCACATTGTGGTCATGGTGGATGTCCATGGAGCCTCCAGCGGTGGCGGCCGTGTAGGACAAGCAGCTATGCCGTGGTGCGTTGAGCGACTCCCCAGCTTTGCGGCCTGCTTTGCACAACCTGCAGAAAATCTTGCCTGGCGCGGTGGGAGGTTGATCATGACGGGCATGCCAAAAGAACGTAAACCCCATCGCAGGTGTGGTTTGGGGGTCCTCTCTGGCCAGGAAGCGCTCCAGGTCATAGCCGTCCGGCGGTTCCAAAAGGACCATGTGCCCCTTCCAAATCAGTGCGAAGGTCGTCCAACCCCCATCTATCCAGTTGGACCCAATGATGCACTCCACGACCAAGCCCCCTCGGTAGTCCGCCCTAAAAACCACCAATCGGCAGTCCGCAAGGGCTTCCAAAGAGCGAAAGTCCTTCTCGTGGTGAGCTGTAGTGAGGTCATGGATGTAGGTCCTGACTTCGTGTTCCACAGCTGCAACCATCTCCTCCGCCTCGCCGATGGTGTTGGCCGCGTCCACGGCTAGCCGAGTCTGCTCTAGCCTCAAGCTTTGCGCTCTGGTCTGAACCTGCTCCACTGACGGCCGTCGGCTCTTCTCCTTCCACTCAACCATAGCCGCAATGGTGATGGTCACGCACTGCCGCCGCTCAATGGACACCTCCAGTAGGTGAAGAAGTGCCGCCAGGTCCTCCGTCATCATGACGTCCTCCTGATAGTCCCACAGCCGCCAGGTGGTGCCGTCGAGCTCGACGCTTCCTTGCCCTGGTTGCCCCTCTGCCCACAGGGTGTCTCGAACCACCAGTCGAGCCGAGCCTGCTTTAGTTCCTTCCCGTTGCTCCAATAGTTCAGCCGCTTCCCGTGCAAGCTCTCCCATCCCGTAGGTCGCCATTTCCTGAAGAAGTGAAGAGAGTTCGACTCCGGGTTCCCTAGCAACTCTAGCGGCGGCCCATGCATACAAGTCATCAGTGGCTCCCTCCAGTGCCTGGAGAGCAGGGGACTTTCCTAGCTCCTGGGCTTTCTGGACCAGGTGCTTTGCCTCCTGCGGCGCCGAAGTCCCATCCCGACCACGATGAGGTGGAAGATCACGATGAACATCTCGACGCCATGCATAGTCCGGCCCTTGAATCACATCCTTGAGGTCCTCGCCCTTGGTGTAGTCGACTTCGAACTCCTCGGGGACATCCCAAAATCGCACCTTTGGCCCTTCTCCTCCAGCTCGGCCATCTTCCGTTACCTCCTGCTCTCTGCCGGGGTGCTCCCAGCTTTCGCTCGCTTCTTTCCGTCCTGGATCTTGTCGGTCTTCTCGACCCGCATCTTGGACCGGATGTCTTTGATCTTGGTGGTCACGGTATCCGGGCTCTCGAGCTTCATCCGCTTCAGTCCACCTCTTTTGAGGAGTTGCATTTGCACACACGGGTCCAGATTCTCGAAAGAGCCGCGAAGTCCTTCATGGGAGCGCTGACAACCTGTCGTCTGGCAGCCAATGTGGCACAGGTTTCCCCAGCAGAGCAACTTGCCGTGGCGGTCCAAAGGGGCCCGATCTTTGGCCATTCCGACCTCCTCCGGAGTCAGCTTGGGCCCCCACAACGACTTGAGAGTGGGCTTGGACTGCGAACTCAAGCTTCCTGCACTCTCCCCTGCTCCTCCAGCTGGTGCTGCCGGGTTGCGATCCTTCCGGGCACCGCCCTGCCAAGTGAGATTCCATAATAAGAGGCGGTCTTGCTTCCTCTCGATCCTTGGGAGGACCTCGGTCTGGAACCATGAGTCGGGCTTCTCGATGTCGAAGGTCGTGGGCATCACCAGCCATGCCTGTCCATCTGGTCCGGGAAGTAGCGCATGGAACTTGAGCTCGGTAAGGCTGATCGTTTCCCTGCCAATCTCCTTCTTGAGGCTCCGAAGCACGTCCTTGAGCTCCTCCAGAAATCGCCAGTGAATCTCCTCCCAGATGTCGATGACTATGGCCAGCGGCCACCGGTGAGGATGGGACAGATGCCACTCCGACAAGAGGTTGAGGGCGTTGTTCCGTACGGCTCTCCATTCCTCCCCATAAACCAGGCACCACACATCTGTCTGGCGTCGTACTCGGGCGGTCCACTCATCAAACCTGGACGGAGGAGGAGGTCTTTGGTCGGTGTTCTTCATCACCTTGGCCTCAGAAGCAAACTGGTCGAGCTCAGCGTCCGTGTAGGAAAGGAAGTCCGCGGCGCTCAGGCCATACTTCTCCTGAATGCCCCAGTACGGCCCTGCAATTCCAACTGCCAGCCGTGTTGACATCCGTTGGCGGAAGCCTGCTGCTCGAAGCTTGGTCGAGGCTCCTATCTGAGCGGACAGCAATGAGTTTGCTAGTGCCTGACCGTGCTCTTCCGCACCAACACGCACTTGATACTGGCCACACGCCCGAAGCAAGAAGACCAGTTCTTCTGATTGTTTGTTGAGCCCCCGGATTGTACCGGGGACCTGACCTCCTGCTCCTTCGGTTTGTTGACGAACCAAAGAAGCCAATTCTGCTGTTTGATGCTGGATCGCTTTGGCAATTTGGACAACGGGTTCTGCAGTGGTTCCACTGTCGGTCCTGGCTCCTGCCCTGATGTCCGGCCGATAGATCCCGGGGGGTGCCACTCGTAGCCCGTCACCTCGCTTCTCTTCCACCTGAGGCATCTGCTGACTCCGTTCTGCCAAACCAGGGGGGGGTGCAGGCTCAGACGTAGGTCTTGTCCTGGATGCCGAGGTCCTCAAAGACGAAGCTAAAGGCAGAGATGTAGCTCTATCCCCATCCTTCTCCGGAGTATCCCCAGGAGACGCGGCTTGACTGCCACCTTCCACCATACTCCAGTCGCACATCCCTCCCCTTCTCCATGAGGCCTTCCCACCTTAGCCAGCTCCTTCCGCCACGTGGTCAAGAAACGTGACAGCCCTCTCTGCCCTTGCGCCTGCTCATTCTCCGCCTCCCCAACCAGTTGTCGAAGAAGATCACCGGGTAGTAGCAGGCGGTCAGCTCCCAGCTTTTTGCGTGCTTGGTCTTCACGGAGTCCATCAGCCTTTCCGGCCGCAAAGATCTCAAAGAACTCTTCCAGCAAGCTGCCGGCACCTTCTGAACCTGGCGACTCGAGCATCCCCATGCGGGATAGATTTCGACTGATGCTTGATCCTTTCGGAGTATGTCCAGGCGAGCGTGTTGTTCCCCTCCGACGTGGCGTTCTCTCTTTGATCTCGGGCTCCTCACATTCACGAGCCCTTCCCAACAGCTTTCTCGCACGACCATGCCTATCCTCGTCACCATGCGCCTCCTCGTTGTCGACCCCGTTCTCCTCATCATCGTTCTCCCCCTCGTCGATGTCCTCCACCGCTCGTGTACGTGACCTCGATCTGGATCGGCGCGCTGAGGTAGAAGAGGGTCTCGTCGGTGTCAGGCTTGAAGGTTCATGTTCTGAACACCACACCACACCATGCTGCAGCTTGTTCCCAAACCTTTTGCAAAAGGTCACACTACACTTGTCGGGATACCGTCGGGTCAGGTATTGGGTAGCATGATCCCCGCACAATGCAACAGCCCCGCACTGAGTGGGGACATCATCCTGGAGGAGTTGCCCAAAATGTTGAGCACGCACACTGCACGGCCGATTGGCCAGGCACTGCATAGTTCCATCAGGGCCCCGCCATGTGACCAGGCTGCCACAGCAAATAAGGTGCTCCTCCTCTTGCTCCGATTCGGAACCCAACTCCCGAAGGCGATGCATCAACTGTGAGGTGCCGTCGGTCAAGGGGGACCCTTTCAACCAGGCCCAGAAGTCGTGGGTCACCTTGCGCGCACCCTCACGGGCTTGGGCCATCTGGAATCTTTCCGGGTCATTCTTTCGAACTAACCCGTGTGCAGGCCTCATTTCGGCATAAGTGCACCTTCTCGACGTCCCGCAGCCGCCTCACCAAAGCCGGAGATCCGCGGATCGTGTTGCACTCCACAGGGACATAGAGGCCGTGGGTCTTGATGGACTGGGAGTCCATGCCGATGGCGAAGACAGCAGCATCTTCCCCTCTCTTCACCACAATGTACTTGGGCTGCTCACTGGACCTCTTGAATGCTCGAAGCTGGGAGGTTTCAGGTGTCCGCCCAGTGGCAGGGCCCAAGAACTCTGCTTCAGAGGCTTCTGGAGAGCCTCCTGTAACTCTTTGAAACCAGAACGCAAAGGCCCCAACTCCTCGTAGGACTTTGCGAAGTAGCCATGCCATCGCCATGCATGCCCCGATCAGGAGCGACACAATGGGGTAGCACACGGCCCACACATAGTGAGCGACCAAGCAGAGCCCCAGCACCACCAGAACCTGGAGGAGCCGGCGGCATCCGGTCCGAACCTTAGTCCAAGCGCTGCCGAAGAGTGCCCACCCGATCATGCCGAAGAGGGTGTCCACGACCATCCACAGCGCCACATCCCAGCTTCCCCAGGTCGAGGCTCCTTCCAACTCCCGACCCCAGCTCGCCAGGCCGGCAAGCCACTCTTCCGTGGCATTGAGCCTTCGCTCCGCACCCGGGAGCCACTCCCGAAGATGCTGCCGCCAACCAGCCTGCTCCTCCAGGGGCTCCACCTCCGGTGGCCCCTCTGGGCCAGCCCACCAACCATGGCTTACGGCTGTGGTCGAGATGACCACCAGCCTGAGCCACCACATGTGGCCGTGCCGACCCAAAAGGCTCAGAAACCTTCGGGCCAAAAGGACTTGGTCGTGCAAGACCTTCACAAAAGTAACGGTTATTTCTAACCTCCAACAAATCATGCGGGCAGATGTTTTTTATTGATGTGAAGCAGGACCTTGCAACTTTTGAGAGCGACCAGCGGGCAGCTGGCGTTTGTTTTGCATTCGAATGCATCAAGTGCTCCTTTCAATATGATACTTTTGACTTTTCTGTGTTTATACTGTGTATCTTAATTTGTGGCTGGCTTGTTTCTTTGAGTATATATAGTCCGATGATCACTGTGGACGGCCGGATGGCCTAAGATATTACGGACCCACAGAGCACGCCAACATGCCAGGCCCGCGCAGTCTTCCCAGATCATTCATAGCGAGGCGTTGTTGCAAACTTCAAAGTTTGGTCAAAATCGAAATTTCATTGGAATAGCAGGATTTGGTGGATGTTCTCTTCTACGGGGCCGGTTGGTGCTACAGATCCTTGCAATGGAATTGACCGATCCGATGTGAGTTGTGGGGTCAATGGCTCTCCTGAATTACATTATATTGTCATTTGTGTTTTTTCCAGTCAGAGTGTGCCGGAGGAACTGCGAAGAAATGTCTCGGATCATGTCTCGCATGCTCTTGTTGGGGACCTCTTGTCACCTTAGCTTGGTGGTTGGATAGAGACCTTGGGATGGTATCCATCAGGTGCGTCACCATGGAAGCGACGGAAGCGACCGCGTCACCATGGGCGCCGAGGCGCATCTGCTTCTCGCGAACTCTACGTTGATTTCAATAGTTTCTACATGTCGCTACTAGTAACAAGAAGGACTAGGTGGACGCCATCACTAATAGGTTGGAGGCCATCGCTACAAACAAGAAGCAACAAGGGAGGATGCTAATCTTCAAGTTACAATGGGACCACAACGAAGTGTTGGCCCCAACGTTGGTGCGTCCTCTCGTTCCCGAGGAGCTGATAGCGACCATCAGACGGGAGGAGCCGATTCATCGCTTTACCGAGCACATGCTCAAACGAGGTTTGCATGTTAATGAACAAGAGTGTTCATTGCGTGGTTGTGGAGTTCAATCAACCCTGCTACAGTGAGGATGCCAGACTCACTGCAACAGAGCCGAACTACTAGGTCGTGATCCTACCGTCCTGTTATCCTTTGTCTCCTGTCCTTACTATGTCCTACTAGACGAATTGATACCCTGCAGAATCTCCTTCAGATCAAAACGCCTTCGAGGAGTTCGGCTTTGAGGGTGATCAGCTCACCGGAGGCGCCTTGCAGGCGTTGTGCCCCGTCGCGGCGGTTGGCGAGTCCGCCGTCGAACGGAGGGATGGTCAGAAAAACCGAACGGGGAGAGTAATACATGGTAATACCGCAAGGCCTGGTACAATTCCGGTCAACACCAAGGCACATCTTGGGTTTCACAAGAGGTTCCAATACATGTCATGCCATTTCTTTGGTTGCATATGTAGCACCCGATTGTTTGCTTTCAGACATGGAATGACATGGATATGTTTCGTAGCACTGCTGCTTAAGGTCTCTGAAACCAAAGCAAAACTCCAAAGCAATCGTGCCCAAATCTGAACACTCCCAGCCTTTGCTGCATGAGCGCTGTCGATGCCGCAGCCACCCCCACGCTATTCAAGCATATGCAGGCTGCATGGATGTTGCTTTTCGTTGCACCGGCAGGTGAAACAAAATGCACGTTTGGCACGCGCTTTGAAGCGCTTAGCAGGAGAGCTGCACGAACCTCAGAGTCGCTTGCTTTCTCAACAAGCAGACCTGACATTATCCATGTAGCAGTGAACCAACTTACTTGTTTTTATATTTCTAGTTGCAAAATGGTTCAAAGCAAAGCCAACCAGAGCTACTGATGTTGCGAGGTATGGAAGCGATGTACACTGGCAATTGGAATTGCTGCAGTCCCATTGGCTGCACTGAGGATGGCAAGACAAACAGGGTTACACAATGCGTAGGTGAGGCTGCATCCAGCAACCATAAACAGTAGACCATCAGCAGACTCCACTGAAATGATTGGATGCATATCAGTTTCCAAACTGGAGTTTTCATGATTTGACAGTAGTATCAACACCAGCAATACCAGTCTAAGGAATGCTGACGATAACACGTACAAGGACACCGTTTCAGACCAAACAACTTTTGGAAGTTATGAGAGCGCAATAGAGTGTGCATATATCTATAGTATACAATGATGTTTCTATACATATATCAGTGTCGTCTAGTGCTCCTTGTCTTCCGATTTTAATTGTAGTGCCGTTCTTCCTGGTCACCTCAAAACAGCTAGTCAGGAGCGTGAAGTAGGTCAAGTAGTGTGATCAATGAGACGATCCGCAACTCTGACAACACGCAACAGGGCATAGGTATCAAAAAAAAGAGCATCAAAAAAAAAAAAACAGGATCAAAAAAAAACGAATCAAAAAAAAATATTCCTTGATAGGCCTCTTCTGCTGCTCTCCTGGCCTTGTGGTTTGTGGTCTGCGGGTCCTCTGGTAATGTGGTCCTTTGGTCCCTTGGTCCACTGGTCCTTTGGTCCCCTGGTCCCTTGGTCCTTTAGTCCACTGGTCCCCTAGTCCTCCGGTCTCCTGGTCCTTTGGTCCGCTGGTCCCCTGGTATCCTAGTCCTTCTGTCTCCTGGTCCGCTGGTCTTTTGCTCTCCTACGGCGCTCGTCTGTCGATCTCCTGGTCCCCTGCTTGCGCAAATAGAGGCTTGATTGCTTTCTACTAGAGGCAGCTCCCTGGGAAGAAAGTAGGTACCCAACGATAAGGTTGCCGTCCAGTCATTGAGTAGCCCTACTCGAAAAGTGGTTCACCAGTGGAAATAGCTCCCTACTAGGAGGGAGCTCCTGGGGAGGTACACTCTCCTCTACTACCCCAACCATCCTCAGTGGGCTAGAATATTTTTTTTTTGATTACCTTTCTATTTTTTTATTGATCCCCGTTGAATATTTTTTTGATTCTATGTTTATTTTTATTTTGATCCCTTACCCACGCAACAGCTCCGTTGGATAGCAATCCCAACATGGCAGGACAACACTATTCCTACAGCTCAGTTCCTCTTGCGGCCGAACAATGGAGGAGAGGCGAGGAACATAATATGCTTTCTTCGTGGCACCATCACCTTATGTTCATCCCAATTTTGAAGCAAGATCCCGCCTTCCATGAAACTAGCGAAACTAGGGTACCTTACAGTGAGTAACGTGACTCCGCCAGCAGACTTCGAAGTATCAACTAGTGACTCTTGTAACATAACCCTTTGACACCACTAAGCAACCACAGCAACAGGTGAAACCTCCGCTCGAACATCGTCCCAGGTTCTCTTCCGTTGCAACGAGATGGGTTTCCGAGAAGCGCAGCATCCCAGCTTCGCTGCGGGTGTGCTTCGGGTGTTTCGCTTGGGTGTCGAGGTTTGTTTAGCTTCGATGGCATCGGGAGGGTTCATAATGCCGTGGTGTTTTCTAGGATTTGCACCTTGTCTTGCCTTGGAAAGCATTGCGACAAACTGCAACAGCTTGAGGTTCCCCGTCATTGGGGCAGGAGAAAATCGCAAACCTCCAAAAAAACAAAAGGAGAAAATAATGGCACTGATGCACTGAGCAGAGTGTATTCTTGGCAGTCTTCAGCTGCTCATTAGGCTGACATCCGTGCCATTTGCGACATCGGCAACTCTTCCAAGGCCGGTCTTGATTGATGCAGATGGACCGATGGACATGGACAGTAACCAGAAGCTACTAGGGGCTCCTGGCCCTACTACTAGGAGCCTTACTACGGCCTACAGTGCCTACAGAATTCTTTGCTCTTCATGATTTGCTGCTGTGAGTCACGTGTCACGTGTCTTTCCTCGCCAGGTGGGTGTCGCCAAGTATGGTCCGGGCGGCCGTCCGGCACCCAGTGACACCGGTGAAAGGCCGGTTCGATGGTCCGGTGCCGGTGCCGGGTTCGCAAGTCACGGTGCTTTGCCAACTCAGGAGTCGTGGCCACTGGTGAGAAGGGTTTGGGCTTCAAGGCGGAAAACACGAGCTTTGGGTCGGCTTTGGATTTATTCATCCTCACAAAATTGGAAGACGAGCTTTAATGCTTACAGTGGATGCCTGGGTACATGACTGGCCACTCATGATGGAAGGTTGTGTCATCCTGGAGGAGAGGTATTGCTGATGTCCTGCATCCCTCGTAGGCGGTGTTTGCGCTCACTGATCGGCCGAAGCTCTTTTCTGGGCCATACAGGTTGGAATTTGCCCTGACCTTGGCAGATTGCATAGAGCTTCTGTGGAAAAACTTCGGTGGACGTGTCGAAAATTGTTCCATCAGCATGGATTGCAGTAGCTTATACAGCGCGATGCTCCAAGGATGCTACACATCCCAGCGGCATTGGATACGTTCTTCCTCGCTGGCTCGAAGAGAAGGAGGATGAACTGCTCAGGCCTCCGGCTAGAGAAAGCAATCTGAAAGATGTATCATGAAGTGCCATGGAAGGGTGATAGTAAGGAATTTGGAATGAATTGAGGGTGCATTCCAGCAACATCGTACCTTTCGAATGGCTCTATTGAAGAAGAGTGGTTGGAATGACTTGGAGCCCTTGTGGATGAGGTTGGGCCATAGTAAGGCTTTGGCCACACGGCTAGGCCTGCCTGGGGTTCACTCTTGCGGCTACCTCTTCGGAGCGAACTACAACCTCGACGTGAGGATTCAAATCTCGGTCCTTTGACACTGTGCCAATTTGTTGTTACTTGGTAAATTATTGTTACTAGTAGTAAGAATTGCTAGGAGCCCCTAGTAGCGATGCCCTTGCTCCTAGTAGCTTCTTGTTAGGAGCCCTGTTCGTAGCGTCCTTGCTCCTAGTAGCGATGCCCTTTGTTCCTAGTAGCAATTGGCATGCCGCAAGCCTTGGCAAGGAGGATCTCCCCAGAACTCAACCGCCAGGAGCTCTTTCGCCGCTTGGCCGAAGGCCTGCCGCCCTCATTGCTGCTCTTCATGAAGCGTTTGCGTGAGGCCGGTTGAGCACCTCCGTTGTTGGACGAATTGGTTCGACGGAAATGCGGTCTTCAATGACTGCCTTGGCCAAACACAGAGAGAGAGA